GACATCAGCGCCATGAACGCATACATACTATGGAAGCTCTTGAAACATAATTCAACTTTTGATTTGAAAAAGAGAAGAAACTTTCTAATTGAGCTAGGAAAGGAGCTAGCAGAATACAAGGACCACGAAAGACCCGAAGAAGAAGCTGAAGCATTTACTAGTTCTGAGATTCCAAGAAAGAGGAAGAAATGTGGTGTTTGTCCATCTTCAAAAGACAGAAAAACAAGAACAACTTGTGCACGTTGTAAAACCAATACACTCAGTAGTTCTATGTAAGAAATGTGTTTAACCTACTTTTACTTTTATGTAAATTAAAAACTTTTATGTTGAATAAAATAAAAGCCAAATATAATAATGCTTACGCTATATACAAGTGTCCCGCAACGATTGTACAATACTTCACCAGCGTATTCCCTGATCGAAAATAGACAAAAAAGTCTAATAAACATAGGTCCGAAAATGGACCATTTTCGATATATTCAAAGTTTTAGTTTCATAAGTTGACTTATTGTTAATATCATTAATTGTAACGATTTAGATGCAGTAATTATATGATTACCATGGTTACGATGGTTAAGATAAAGATTAATAAATAATAAGTTAATATTAAGTCAATTAATACAGTTCATTAATAATTTAACAAAACAAGTAAAAAGATTGTCGAAGAAAATCTTTCAACCAGCATAAAAACAACGAATATTTAACAAATTGGAAAAGAATCATGTCATAATAAATGTTCAATATGCGCACCATTTACTTCTAAGCACAAACAGATGCGTTTTTTAAATGAAGTTCTAATGCGTTCAAAGATACCGGGAATTTGTTTTACTGCGTCAAATGCATTACTAATTTTATTTTTGAAATCCTGCACATTCTGAACGTCTTCAGAATAAACTGTTTGTTAAACGAGGTGGCCACGGGACAGGACCTCCTCGGCCAATCCACTTATTGCCAAAACAGTTATTTAAGTATGCTCGAGTAGCGCGTGCATAATGTGCTGGTACTCCATCGTGCATAAAGCAATCTTCTAGAATTTGTTGAGATAATTCATCAAATACCTCTGTAAGGTCATTTTGTAAAAAATGTATGTAAGCATCGGCTGTCAATCTCTTTGGAAGAAAAAATGGACCTAATAACTGATCACCTATAACTCCAGTCCATACATTAACACTGAATCTCCAAACGTGCGCATTATGAATATTAAAAATTCCGCTTTGAGTAAATGTTGCTTCATCCCTAAATACAATGTTAATGGGATGGTCGACGTATGTATGGCCCACCCACAAAAAATCTCTCTTTTTTCGCCATCATTTTCTGTTAGAGCTTGAACGGTGTTGTAATGATAAAGATAAAGCAACTGCTCCCTTAAAATGCGGTGACCGGTTGTATTCTTAATGTTTTCTTGTGCAGAAATTCTTCTTCGTAGTCATAGTAACCACTTAATTATTATAAAAACAAATTAAAATTAATATATAATTAATATATTTCATAAGTTGATATTAATAATATCAACTTATGAAACTAAATCTTTGAATATCTCGAAAATGGTCCATTTTCGGACCTATGTTTATTAGGCTTCTTTTGTTTATTTTCGATCAGAGAATACGCTGATGCAGTATTGTACAATCGTTGCGGGACAGTCTGTATACCGGGTGTCCCTCAGAAGTGGCTCACCCCATATTTTTTTTTATTATTAGTGATATAAGAAAACCATTTAGAGTGCATAATTAGGCCGTTAAAACGGATTATTACGACATGAAATCATACTCTTTGTACTTCCGGTTATACCGGATGTGAGTACTAATTTCGCTATTTTTTTAAATCTATAAATTTTTTTTCTTCAGATGAGTAGACAGCATAATTTCACATAACTTTTACTTGAAAAAATGTTCATGATCGCTTATAATTTTTGAAAAAAAAGTTATTTTCGTTGTTTTTCAACGTTTTAGTATCTTCGGAAAATGTATTACTACTTTTACGACGCATAGTAGCTAGGTTAATAGTATAAACTACCGTTATGTTCCTCTTGATTTGCTATTTCTCGAGCAGTGATCACTGCCACGCTTTAGTCAGCGGTTCTTTTTAATAATGGTGTAAATTAACAGTAGTATTAAATTAGTTTTAAAAGAAAAACGCGAACAAACAACTAAATTTAATTCAATTATTTTTGATCTTTTATTTTTTATTTGTTGTTCTTTTACACTAAATGTTCTGTAGCTGATGGTAAATTACAATGTACAATGTCCATTGTACATTATGGTTTGGATTGTTTACTTTATTTTGATTGAAACTTATCAAGGTGGCTATGGAAAAAAATTGCTAGCAATTTGATATAACGTAATTAAGTTCATTAGTTGACAATATTCGTTAATTTCAATTTAAATTATGGAAAAATTTATGCAAATCGAAAAAGTAGATATGATATTAATATTTGGAGAATGCAGAAAAAACGCAGTTGCTGCTGTTAGACTTTACGCGCAGAGATTTCCTGGTCGTCGCCACCCAACAAGGCATTACTTTCCAAAAATTGTGGCGAAAATGCAAACAGAGCCGATCAATAATGGAAACCCTAGATACATTGTAAGTGGCGATACGGAACGAAATGTTTTGGCATGTATCGAAAATAACAACAGTGCATCAGTTAGGGAGATTGCGATACAGTGCGAAATTTCAAAAACATCGGTGTGGAGGATTTTAAAAAAACATAAACTTCGTTCTTACAAATACCAATTACATCAACATTTGTACGAGAATGATTATGAAAGACGACTCCACTATTGTAATTGGTATTTAGAAAGATATGAAAACGATAATGCATTTCCCTTCAAAATTCTGTATACAGATGAGAGTCGATTTACTAACTTGGGTATATTTAATCGAAATAATAAAAGGTATTGGGCACAAGAAAATTTATATTTGATGGAGGAAGGGAATTTCCAAGAAAGATTTGGTTTTAATTGTTGGAAGGGAATCATTGGAGAAAGAGTGGTGGGTCCAATATTTTTTGATGGTCATCTTACAGGGGAAAGATACCTCAACTTCCTTAATAATGCAATTGAGGATCTGCTGGAGGACCTACCAGTTGGAACTTATAATGGACTAATTTTCCAACAAGACGGCGCCCCACCTCACAACAGCAGAGTGGTTACTGATTTTTTAAGCTGAAAGTACAATAACGACTGGATTGGTAATAATGGACCAATAAAGTGGCCACCACGGTGAGAACAAACCGGTTCTTTCTCACATTTCTCCTTATTCCTATCTTTTTACCTTCCAGATCACCTGACCTCACACCTTTAGATTTTTTTTTATGGGGCAAAATCAAAAATGAGGTGTATAATACACCTGTAAGGTCTCGTGAGGTATTAGAAACTGTATTACCCAAATATCTCCGCAGGAATTACGTCGAGTTGTTAGATCGACAATACGGAAGATACAATTATGTCAAAATCGAGGCGGGGAGCATTTTGAAAATTTAGAAAATAATTTTTTTGTACTTATAATTGAATTAAATTTACTTGTTGTTTCGAGTTTTTGTTTTAAAACTGATTTAATACAACTGTTAATTTACACCATTATTAAATAAGAACCACTGACTAAAGCATAGCAGTGATCACTGCTCGAGAAATAGTAAATCACGAGGAACATAACGTAGTTTATACTATTAACCTAGTTACTATGCGTCAAATGTTGTAATACATTTTCCAAAGGTACTAAAACGTTAAAAAATAATGAAAATAATTTTTTTTTCAAAAATAATAAGCGACCGTGAAAATTTTTTCAAGTAAAACTTATGTGAAATTATGTTGTCTACCCAACTGAAGAAAAAAAAATTATAGATTTAAAAAAATAGCGAATTTAGTACTCACATCCGGTATACCCGGAAGTTCAAAGACAATGATTTCATGTAGTAATAATCCGTTTTAACAGCCTAATTATGCATTCCAAATGGTTTTCCTATATCACTAATAATAAACAAAAATATGGGGGTGAGCCGCTTTTGAGGGACACCCGGTATATTATATTCAAAATAATCGCCGAATATTAGCTCAAACTCAGCATATAGTAATACGGGTCCAATTGACTCGCGCGATAAGTAGCGATAGGCCGTTTTCTTGGTAGTCCTAGGGTTAAGTAAACTGACATATTACAATGACAACTTTGCTTTTGTTGAATGTTTGCTTTTACTGACTATTAATAAATTTGCTGCAGAAAACTTTAAAGTGTTATAATTTCGTAAATAATTGAACTAGGACATATGGTCATTAACATTTTTTTTGGGTAATTGGATTAGCTATCATATGTCAAAGTTTGATGGTGAGTTAATAAATCACCCTGTATATAATCATACATATTATATGCAGCTATCAAAGAGAAAGGGAATCTTTAAGTAGATTTCTATCAACAGAGTATAACGCAGGAAGGTCACCTAGATATCGATCAAATATTATTGAAATATTAAACGAGAGTTTAAAGTGGGAACGATGGTCAAACACGTCACCAGTATCTTCTTTCTCCATGATCTGGAAAGTGTGGTTGTTAATACATATTATTCGTGGTCTTGTCGAACCTAGGTTGACTGTAGTATATTTGTAGTTGTCGTTGTCCCTTTCAACTCTTACAAAAGTTGTTCTCCACCTTGTTGATTACACTGATTCAACTTAGAACCAACTTAATCTCAATTTGCAGTGAAGACATAATTGAAACACTTTTTATTTTCAATTCTGACCTGATGATTCTAATCCAATATCTTTTTGTGTATGTTATGGCAACACAATGATTAATGAAATTATTATTGGGGCATCTCATCTGGGAATCTATGTGATTGTAGAAAGACATTTGTAACTGTAACAATTGTAGTTTTCTTAGACTATGTGTAGTAAAATGCTTAAAGTGTGGCGACCTCGGTTACACCGATCCGGATTTAAATAACCTGGCGTCGTGTTTATCGTGGTCGGTAGTTCGCACGTCGAAAGCGACGACGACGACCGTAGAGCGAGCGTCCGCTGACGTCATAGAGCGTCGGTCGGCGCTTGCTCCACAAGCGTGCCTTCTCCTCGGCCACCTACCAGGCATTGATTATTGTCCGCTTGCTACGACGAGTATATATCGGCGCGGCCACGGCAAAAATGCATAACCATCACTGTAAATAATTTCTATAGAAAATAATCAATTACAATCAAGTCGTTCAAGTAGTAAGTACTATGTGCAAAAGAGACGGTGGACGAAAGCGAAAGAAATATGACCCGGTGAAGTTCGGTTCGCGATGTGACCGTTAGAAGACGCTCCTACAATTGATCAAATTCGTACGCGAACTCTATTAAACATACACACATCACACTTTTTTTTTGATTTTTTAACTCCCTGAAAAAGTTTAATTAGACGATGTGGGGGTCGTCGAAACGAATCTCGGTGGGGATGTCAAAGAAACGAGCAATGCACGAGAAAGACAAAAGGTGCGGGTTTTGTTGTTTTTAAAGATGGGCATCTGAGGACACACTTACCTGGGGATCTGCCGACGATGGGGAACTCTTGTAGTAGTGGACAGGCCCATAAGGACAAGGATAACATGTCGCAAAAGTCCGAAGAGTAAGTTAACACGTTGAAACTTATAAAATCTAAATGTTTTGAATAAAAATTTATGAAATCTTAATGAATCTTAGAATCAAAGTATTTCAATTTTTAATACGGAAGTGTGTTGTATAGAAAAATAGCATTTTCGTTGACGTCAGGTTGTATAAAATCCTTGAAAACCGATAAGGAAATTTAATTATGTAACAACAGGTGAATTATTATATCAATTGTTTCTGTTTCCGTTTCGAAATGAATATGAGGAAAGGAATTTAACCAGTAAATCGGTTAAATGGCAAAGGTTAAATGACGTGACTGCTTTGGATACAAGACTCGATTATCAAACGGAGATAATTTAAATTCCTAATTAGGTATGCAAGAAAAGCAGAAACTTATTTGGGAATTATAGTTTTGTTGTTAATCAGAAATAAGATTTATTTCTAACTTCAATCTCGATGTAGTGGTTGTATGTTATATTTTATACTGGTCACACCAAACATTTTAACAATCATATCACATATCTATCTGCTTGTTACACACGTTGTCATGTGGGCAAATGACGTTCTGGTTGACGTCAATTATCATAAAAATCCTGCGTGCTGATAACGAAATGCATTATTAAACTAATGACGTCCTAAAAATGACAAACTTAATTAGTGGTTATATCTTTAACAGTCGTCATCGATTAAAATATCTCAATTTATGAATACGATTTTGTGATGACGAATTTGGTTTAATAATAAATATTATCTTAGGGATATTTTTAAATATACCCTAATAGAAGAAAAATTTAATAAATATTAATTAAAAAAACGAATTTATTTTTAAGATTCAGCACGTAAGTTCTAAATCGTGAGGGTAGTTTGAAATTAGTGGCCATGTTTAAAGTTATAAATGATTATTAATCTTTAACTGTTTTTAAAACGAAACTGTTGTTATAAACATGAAGAATTTCATTAATAATACTGAAAGCGTGACGCGAACAGCGGTGATGAAACATAACAATTTAAAAGAAAGAGCATCCTGCGGGTTATTACATTACTATCTCTCTTTGATGAAACGTTCCAGGAACATTAGGTCCTAAAGGTCAGCGCATGTTTGGAAATACGATATCTCAAAAGAATAATTTTCAACATTTCATTATTCTGAATTAACATGTGCATCAAATCCGCAACTATCTTGTTTCGAGAGCCATTTAATTAAAAAGTGAACAAATAGAGCTTACAGAACTTTAGTATTAAATAAAATTTAAAAACATTTTAAATTGCCCAAAAATACATTTCATATATAAATTATTACCAGGTTAAATGTCTTGAAATCTCTAAATTCACAAATTGGTTAATTTCGACTTCAACGCCATTTATAACTCAAAAGATAATGTTGATGGATAAAAACTTGTATACTAAAAAACTTTCTAAATTATCTAAAAATATATTTTAAATATAATACTTTATTCCACCGTTGATTATTACCAGGTTACAATTTTTGAAATGTCAAAATTCGCAAATAACGATAGGAAAAAATATGAATCATCTCCAAAATAAAAGGGTGTAACAACAATAGACAAGACAATGCTTAAAAGTTGTGTCAGTAAAGTATCAGAGTCAAGCAGTTAAATAAAATATGCCGAAATTTACTATTTGCTGCATATGTCAATAATAGAATCAAAATCAAATCATTCACAAATGTATAGTTACAAAAACGAAATTTAAGATAGAATTAATAATGTGTTAAAGAAGAGTTGAGCTGTAAATTTATTTAAGTATTAATGGGGTTGAGATAATTAACTGTATTATGTAATGTGGAAGAGTCAGGGTTTATCACTTCTCAAAGAATAATTGCACGTACAGTAGAACGTCAGGAAGGAATCGTAATAAGTGCCGCTCGAGGCGTAACTGCAACTTTGGGAAATTGTTAAAAATTACTTCTGCTGTTCTAAGTCGGTAGTCGCAACTTTAAAAGCGCTTACATCAATTTTCAGTCGCAATAATCGTTCCACAATATAGGCTGTACGTCCAAAGTTCAGTGAAACAATGACAACAGGTGGAAATACTGAAAATATCCGTATACCGTTCGAAGAAATTGAAAATCTCTTAAATAACTTTGTAGCGAATTTTGAGTAAAGATCTTGACTTACATCATTACAAGATCAAATGAATTCAAGAACTGAAGCCTTTTGATCATTTGAAGCGCCAAAACTTTACAGATTTCTGCTAAAGTTTGAAAAAATCATGTATTTTTTCGAAAACTCATCTTCAGCGATAACAAACTCAAATGTGCTTCAAGAAACCAGAGCCTTCATGCTGGAGGTGTGATTAGACCATATTTTTCCGTCGATGAAAATGAACTTCATGTTACGGTCAATGGAGTTCGCCATCGTGCCATGTTGGAAGACTATTTTTGGCTAGAATTAGACCTAACAATCGAACTGTTGAAGAGGAAGTTCGGTAACCGTGTTATGGGCGAATGGCCACCTTGCTCAAGCTCAGGAACAGCATTAAACGCGAAATTGCTAACGTTCTATCCGATTTGTGTGAAAGAGTGGTGCAAAATTGTGTCCAACGAATCAAAAAACGTGAATATTTTACAAAACATCTTCAAAGTTTCTACCATTACATCCGATGCATGCTTTACATTAATAGGTCATGCATCGCTAGATCCATTTGAGATACGACAAGTGTTGCATACAAAGTTTCTTTAAGTGCTCTCCAAACAAAAAAAAACCAAGTTATATAGATAAGGAAAACGTGATGGCCAGAAAACGCCAAATTAATCGTTGACGAACTCGAATAATCTTACGTATAACATGTTTTGGCACAGGGTGAATTACACCTCGTTATATCTGTTTCAAATAGATAAGAATAAACCAGTCCAAACAATCACTGAGAATATATTAAGCAAATACGTATTGTGTTGATGGGATATGCAAAATGCTGATGTACGCCTCATCCGTAAACAAAATATAAAATTAGAAATTAACGTATTGGGTACATTGGTGGATATGCCGACGTGTAAATCGCGCACCTACAGGAAAGATCTGTGGTAAGTAGAACCTGTACTCTTTGGAAATGATATGCGGGGTATAGCAACAATAAGTAACACGTTACCTAATTATATCTCTGATACTTTGCAGAGATTTTTCCTTGTAGATAACATGTGCCGGAGTTTGGCAGATGTCATCAGATGTCCTTGTCGGAGATGGAATTATTTGCATAACATATACGTCTACACTTCGTTTCTTATAATAGAAAGAGCGCCATCACATGATTCTCCCTAGGAAGTTACAAATGTTTTACACTACGTTGAGGTTACTGTTGATTGTTGTGCTCAATTGAAGTTTAATCAAAAGCTCTTAATTTAGTGGGATAAAGGACGATAGAAAACGATAGAAAAAACTAGTCCTGTTTCAAATTGAAGTCGTTCTCAATTCACGACATTTCTGCATAATTTCCAAAGATTAAACGACTTCAATGATTTAACTATAGCTTATTTACTTGTTGATTCTTGATATTCGGTGGGTAAATGATCGGGACGCCTCATCTCCAATTGGGCAGATAATCAGATTTCCGTCAGAGTTCTGTCGATATATTTCTTATACCTCTAATACTCTTATAACTTTCCCATTGCGTTTCTGGTCATAGGTTTCTATGCAATTGAGTATCGTATTGACGTTCCGGGTTTAAATGAATTCTGTAACCTTACAATTTCCAAGAATATGTGTTTGCGAACTTCTAAGTTGTTACTTTCAATTTATATAAACCATGAAAACTAACTTTTATTAATAATAGATCTTGTTTGACTTACTTCTCTCCTTATATCTTACATGACACGTACGATATGTATTACTTTAGATCGTTTATAGTATTTTCATTGACAGGGATAATATTCTCAATACATCAAGGTAAATGAAAATCTGTGTTTACCAACTCCTTGATTGAAACCTTCATTTTATATGAAACTACGGTTTTTATTAACTGCTTGAATCTGTCTAAATCAAAAATTGTTTTGTTGATCACCTTCTTGACCAAAAATTAACTAAAAGTTTTTATTCAAGTAATTAATTGATTTAATTATGCTCGATTTCCTAGAGAAACAATTTTATAATAAATATATTTTTACAAAAAAAAGTTTTATTCATCAAATATTTTTTTAACGATTCATTTTTATATTGCAATTTTATATAATTTCTATGAAATAACACTCTATATTATATTTTTTGTATATGTATTTATAAAATGCATTTCATTGTGGATTTGATTTTTATTGAATGCGATTTGCATAGAAAGAGTGTTGTTTGTCGTTAAACACGCCATTTCATATGTACATACGTGCATGTTGTACGTTGTCGGTGAACGAGTATGTTTTGGAGCACCTCCCTCACATGGAGTGCGTTTAAAAATAGAAACTATACGACGTATTATTTTTGGAGCAGCAATACGCGATTAAGCGGTGAGTATTTCCGAAATTCCACGGAGCATCTAGCCAAAATAAACTGGAATAATAATAATAATAGATTTACCTTATTAACTTTAAAATAATCAGGAAATAGAAAGCCAATGAATAAATTTATTTTATAATTAATTTATCCGGTCGAGAATAAAGTAAATATATATAGTAACAAATAATCAATATTTCAAGCTGAATCCGTAATAATATGAAGTATAACCGAGTAAATACAAATAAGTATTTTTGAATTATTTCTACATTGTTCATTAGTGTTTTTTTAAGGCAGCAGTATTGTATTCGAAAACCATTGTTTCCCTCGGTGATACCAATTTGACGAGTATTTTTGAATGCTTACACAAACAATATTTAATTGAACCTGGCTAAAATGAACTACTACAAGTGTATATTGTTCAAATTGCTTGTTGGTAAAACAAAGATGTTTACAAGTTGTAACTTACTTTGTATAAGTACCTGTTTGTGATTTTACTATAATAGTCTTCTGGTTTTAGTTTTATATCTTATTACAAATCTATTTCTCTTACTTATTCTTCAATGTATTCGTTATTTTTAAA